TTGGTTTTCTTCCCCCTTGCACGCTGCTGCCTTTCACGGCTCCCCAGCTCTGCCCCGGGCAGGGAATTGCATTTCCCAGCCCACACACTTGAATTCCTCTTTGTCCACTGCAGGTAGGAGGAGGAGGAGGACAACATTCGGTAGTTGCTGCCTCTTGCTCCAGAGATGGGCGTGGGGAAGAGGTAGTGCCTGGAACCTGAGCAGGGTACATGTCCTTGCTTCACATCAGGTTCTGTGATCTTGCACAAACCATCGCATATCTCCGAGCATCCGTTCTCAGCCGAGCTGGCGGAGGGAGCAGTGTGGCCCTGCCTTGCAGACCGACCCAAGCGGGGCAAGGCTGCGAGAAGCTGAGATGACACAGGGAGAGGAGGGAGCTGGAGCACCTGGGAGACTGCGGTAGCTCCTGTTCCCTGAGAAGTTCACTCATCCACGAAATGCAATGAGATTACACTGGGACAAGTGGGTTCAAGTGGCATTGTCTGTCTTATGTTCAAATTTTGTAGGACAAAGTACCAGCGATGTTTGCACAGGGACAGGAAATGATGGAGCTGCTAGGGCAGGCCCTGACATCACGATTTCCAGGAAAAGGGTGCAAATCTGGGAGAGAAGAACCGAGATTCCTGTTGCCCAGCGGAGCCTTAAAAAGTGCACCCAAGTGGGGTACGTTTAGAGAGGGCTTGGTGGAACAGAGCTGGCTGCTCCTGACAGTGAGCGGGCATGGCAGAGGCCCACCAGCTGCCTGTCAATATTAATAATACTGCTTCATTTTCTTCAAAGTCTGATGCGGTCTCCAATAAAGTTCCTGGCCAGCTCATGCCAGCATTGCTGGGGATCTGGCACTAAATACAAGGTCTCCATCATGTTGTCACTTGTCACCTGGGAACCCTCAGAATCCCCACAGGATAGAGGTGGCTTGACCTCCTCTCCCGGTTCTTCTCTGCCATAGCTATTCGCTATGCAGGAATAAGCATGTGTGTGCGTTGGCTTCAGAGCAGTCAGAGCCCTGCTTATGTCAGGGAGGAGAAAATCCATCTTCAGAGGGGAGAGGGAAGGGATTTTCAGAGCATGAGAGCACATGGGAACCGCTGCACGTGATGGGATACGCTCTGCAATGCATTCTGCCCTCCTTCCCTGGCTGGGTGGAGGCTCAGCCCAAAGGTGGGCTCTGTCGCTTAATCTGATCGAGTGGTAAAGTTATCATTTTTCAAAAATTGGCTACCGTTGAACCGCGAGCAGATTTTACATGGGAATTTCAAAGAGCAAATAGAAAGAGCCTTATGGGGGGGAAGGAAAAACAACCCCGTATCAGATAAGAGTAACCTACACGTCGTGTTAAAATAAGGCTCTGACATCTGCAGGATTAATGCTCTGCCCAGAGGATACAGCAGTTCAGTGGCAGCTCAGAGATTGCTGTGAAACAATGTTCAGTCCTTTC